ATAGCTCACCACTGGGCCTGCGCTTTTCCAGGCTAAAGAGCCTCATGGCTCTCAGCATGTTGTCGTAAGGTCTGTTTTCTTGACCTCTGTTCATGCACGTGGCTCTTCCTTGGACTCTCTCAAGCTTCTCCACATCCTTTTTGAATTGTGAGGCCCAGAACTAGACACAGCACTCCAGCTGCAGCCTCACCAAGGCCGAGTACCAGGGGAGAATGACGTCCCGGGATTTGCTTGAGAAACATCTACGGATGCAAGCCAGCATTTTGGTCACTTTACTGGCCTGACGGACTACTCCCTGGTGGACGTCTGGTGTGCTTATCACCCTATTGACCCCCCCTGCCTACACCTATGTGAGGGTGGGGGAGGAGCAGGCATGCCGCTCCTGGTTGGACCGGGTTTATATCTCTCTGCCGCACTTTGCCTGGGCCCATTCCTCTGGCAACTGGCTGACCCCTCTTAGCGATCACCACCTTGTCTGGGCCTGGGTGTCTGGGATCAGCCTACTGGCATTTCAATGCCAGTTTGCTGGAGGATGTGGGCTTCAGGGAGGCCTTCCAGGAGTTCTGGTTGACCTGACGGGAGCAATGGGCAGCTTTCCCCTCAGCTTGGAGATGGTGGGATGTGGGGAAGGTGCGCATCTGGCCCTTCTGCCGCAGCTACATTTGGGGGCACACCAGACAGAGGGAGGCAGTTCGGGAGCAGCTCAAGCAGGAAGTGCTGGAGCTGGAGAGGCACCTAGCCACCAACTCAACCAACCTTTCCCTCTGTGGAGAGTGTCGGGAGAGGTGGGAAGAGCTTTGTCCTCTGGACGACCACTGCGCCTGTGGTGTGGTGTCTGCTCATGTGCCCAGCTCCTTCAGGAGATGGACCATAGCTTCTGCTTCTCCTATGCACTGAGAGGAGGCGACGGGCCAAGAAGTACATCACCTGCCTTCTGCCCTCATGGATCAAGGTGAGATGGCCCGCATGCACCGGCACTTCTACGAAGAGCTCCTCTCCCTGGATCCATCTGATGCCAAAGCCTGTCAGACCCTGTGGGAGGGACTCCTGCAAGTCAGTGCGGGTGACCAGGACTGGCTGGAGGCTCCGCTCGCTCTGGCTGAGTTTCAGCCACCCTCCGCCTGATGCCTGGCAACAAGGTGCCAGGCATCGATGGGCTGACAGCGGAGTTCTGTCAGACTTTGCCATGGTCTGGGCCAAATCTGAGGGAAGTAGGAAATTCCCCCATCATGCTGGAGGGCCGTACTGACCCTCCTGCCAAAGAAGAGGATCCCCATGACTTTAGGGACTGGCGTCCTGTGTCCATCCTGTGCACGGATTACAAAGTAGCAGCGAAGGCCATCTTGCTGTGCCTGCAGTGCATGCTGATGGACGTGATCCATCCCACCCAGACGTACATGGTGCCCGGACGTTCCATCTTTGACAACCTGTACCTGGTTCGGGACCTGCTGGAGCTAGCTCACTGCAAGGGCTTGTCTGGGAGGAGAAGGCATTTGACAGAGTGGATCATGGGTATGTCACAGGCATGCTGCGGGCCTTTAGCTTCAGACCCTGCTCCATATGGGCTTTCCAGGTACTGTACGCCTCTGCAGAGTTTGTTCAAGCTCAACTGGACCCTGACAGAGCCCATCTTGTTTAGGAGAAGGGTACATCAAGGCTGCCTGCTGTCAGGTCAGCTGTATGCCTTGGCCCTGGAGCCTTTCCTAGTTCTCCTGTGGAAGCGGGTGGCAGAATTGATGCTCCAGGAGCCAGTGGTGTGGCTGGTCCTATCAGCGCATGCTGACCGATTGTACTCCTCACTGTCTAGGACTTGGGCAACCTGGTGCAGGTGGAGGCCTGCCAGGCATTGTACTTGGAGGCCTCCTCTGCCTGGGTCAGCTGGGTCAAGAGTTTTGGCCTGGTGGTGGGTGGCAGGTGGGCTCATGCCCACCCATGCTCTGTGGGATCCACTGGAGTGTGGGCTTGCTGCTCTACTTGGGGGTTTACCTGTCCCCCACAGACCCCTCCCTGCTAGAGTACTGACACCAGCTGGAGGTAAGGGTGGTGGAGGGCTCCAGGCATGGGCAGAGTTCCTGAGGTGCGTCTCCCTGCATGGGAGAGTGCTGGTGCTGAACCAGCAGGTCCTGTCCATGCTCTGGCACCACTTACACACCCTGCCTGAGGTCCTGGCAGGGTTCCAGTGATAGGTGCTAGAGTATTTCTGGCCAGGACAGCACTAGGTCGCTGAAGAGGTCCTGAGTCTCCCCTTGCGGGTGGGTGGCCAGAGCCTGGTTTGCCTCCACAGCCAGGTCCTGATGTTCCGCCTTCAGGCCCTGCAATGATGGCTGTACGGTGTCAGTAGCCATGCGGCATGGGGTCACCTGGGGTGTGCTTTCCTCCACTTCTGGGGGCTCTGATACACCTGGCAACTCAGTCTGTGGGGCTTTTCCCTGCAGGACCTGTGAGGGCTGTCAGATTTCTACCAGGACCTCCTCCAGGCCTGGAGGCTGGTTTCTGCCTCTAGGTCCCCTGCAACAGTTGTCCAGGGTACCAACCTGCTCATCGAGCCCCTCCTCTGGAACCTCCAGCTGGAGGTGCCGACGGCAGAGGCTCCCCGCTTGTCACAGAAGTTGATCTTGGCTGTTGTCACCTGTTGAGACCTTCTGCCTATCATAGTCCAGGAGTGGGTGGACCCTGCTGTGCTGGCCTGGCGCGTGGGTCTACTCAAGACATGTGCAACCTGGTGTGTCTGGTCCAGGGGGTGAAATCTGCCTTACCTCCCGATGCCCTTGTCAACCAGGTCCTGGGTGGTGGTGGTCCCTACCTGCTGGGTCTTCCAGCCCACCAGAATTTGTTGTGGGGCTGGCGCCTTGCCCGGCTTTGTGGTGCTTCCTGCTGCACCACCTGAGCCAGCTGGAGGACACCAGACTGGTCTGCTTTTTTCCATGATCCATCACTGCCACCTCTACGTGCTCAGGAGTGGCATGGATCCATCATGCCGCCCTTGCATCCTGTCCAGACACCAAGTGGCAGGACCTGCTCAGTGAAGGCATAGCTGGGGGACTCCAATGGCTGAGTCTGTACTCCATCTTCATCCTATGAGCCACTGGATACCTCAGCTGGTGGGTCTTCCCTGGAGCCATTGCCACGGGCGTGTATGTGGTGAGCTTCACTAACACCCTGATCTCCTGCCTCTTCTGCAGACAGAGGGAGACCCTGGCACACATGACCCTTGAGTGCACCAGGCTGCAGCCCCTCCACAACACCCCCTACCCCTTTTTGTTTTTGGTCACCCCAGCCAGAGAAGCCTCCTGGTCAACCTCCTCCTGACCCTGGCCAAGTGGGCCCTGTACTTGACTCTGGCTGGGAAGGTGCCCAGAGACTGCAAGGCTACTTTCCTCTCACTTGTCCATGCATGTTTCCGGGCAGAGCACCAGTGGGTGGCATCCACCGACTTCTTGGATGCCTTTGAGGACCAATGGGTGTGGCCCATGGGGCTCAGCTTGGTGTCCACCTCAGGCACACTCATTTTTATGTTTTGACTCTCAGGTCGCTCCTGTCCTGTTTTTTGCCTATGTTGTCCCAAGTATTCTGTTGTAGCATTCACCCATTAGCCCCCATATAGTAGGGGCTACTAGTTAGCTGGGTGGGCCTTATGGTCCACGCTATTTGAATGTTATAAATAGACAGGAGCTTCTAAGGCCTGGCCAGTTGACCTATGGGGATACTAGGCCCCCCCATGCCAGTTTGACTGCTGCAGCAGCCCTGACCTAGAGTGGCCTCTGCACCCTTTTTCCCAGTGCAACAGTCTGGCAGCAGGGGCTGCTGCCTAGCTGTGTCCTGCTGCCACCTGTGACAGTATCCACCCCTTGGACCTGCAGTCCTATATCTTCATGCCTGCCAGACCTGGATGGGGACCACATGATCGCCTGGGCTGCAGCATGGGCACTGTGGCAGAACCATCTGTACTTCTGGGTCAGCTGCCAGTGACTGCACAGTTGGCCTTCATGTGGCACTGCTGCCATATGTGCCCCCAGTCTGCTATCTAGGTAGCTATTGCCTGAAAGATGTTCTCAGTGTGGTGGCCTGCTTTGAACTGTTAAATCATGTCCTCCTGGCCCCAAATGGCCAGAAGGTCAGCCATCTTGTTTGCCCTCCAACTGGGTCCCTAGTACCAGCTCTGGGCAGGCTCCTTTGCCTGGATCCTGTCACTTGCCTTACTAGCAGGAATCCTAGTGTTTCCTGTTTAAAAACAGCAAATTCTCTGCACAAGGGGGCTGGCCCTGATGATGTCACAAGATCCCTTCCAGCCCTAAACTTCTGTGAATGTATCTGGGATTTTTTAAATCTCACGCATTCTTTAAAATGCCCCAAAATTTGTGTTCTTCCAGTATTAAAATGAAACACCACTATTGAGAGATCAGTTGGGCAATGGTTTATCGATATATTTACAGTTTTAAGGCAATTTGAAAGCCTCCTAGTGCCTCTATCATCATAAAATAAATTTTAAATACCTTTGGTGTTTGCTTTCGGTTTTTTTCATCATAGAAAAAATCAGAGCTCCCCCAACCCCCTTGCTAACCAGACATGGGGACAGCTGCCCCTGCAGCCACAGCTCTTGCCAGCAGGTCTCATGCTGTCTGGCAGCTGGGCATGCAGAGTGAGAGATGTTGGGGATTGTGGGGTGTGGTGTGGGCTGGGCTGTGTGGAGTTTGGGGGGGGCTGCCACATGCCTACCCCCCGCACCCCGTGGCGCACAGGCCTCACTGCTGGCAGCAGCAGGCAGCTGGGTCATGCCCATTGCAGCACAGCTCCACAGGGCACAGTGTAGCCTGATCCACCCTGCTAGCATGGGCGGTGGCAGGAGCTCTCACCATTGTGGCCAAAAGGCTGTACTAAAGCATGACACAGTAACAATGTTACTGGAGGGCAATGTGCAGACGCTTCCTAAACTTTTCATACTCTGTGGATAAAATAGAACTAATGACATTTGCTATGCATGAAACTTTAATAATTTTATTTGGACTTAGAATACGCAAATGAGAGTTGCTTCAAAATATGGAGACCATAAATAACAGAAGTCATATCTGAACATATACACAAATAGTACAAACACTGCAGTGATGCAGGAATATAGTATATAGCCAGAAAATATAAGCAACATTTGAGCAACTACATTTCCTGAACTCTGCAAACTAACGTAATCCTAACATTCCCACTGACAAATGTCTTAACAGGAAAAAGGCTTTAAATATTGGCTACATGCAATTTAAGTGTTCCTCTGCTTACCGTTATAAATAAATACTTTGTTCAATGTAATTAGCAGCAGATCAAGAAATGCTTTACTGACCTCATTCCCCACAGCAACCCTCTGAGGTAGGTATGTATCATCCCTCTATTTTACAGATGGAAAAAGGACCTGGCTGAAGGCCTAGTGGCAGAACCAGGAAATTGGCCCTGAGCATGCTCTGCCCGCCAGCTAATCCCTTTTCTTATACCAAGTCATTAAAACAAGAGGTTGATGCAAATTTAAAAAAATTACCTACAGAACATATAAAATTCAGTATTTAAATACTATAAACCATTAAAAATGCTATGTAGTACATTTAATATTGCTGACATTTGAGCTACACTTTTTACTACTCTCATCTATTAGATGTGCATCTTGATTCAGACACACACTGTTGATTTGAAGTTTATATTTCCATTTCCAAGTTTTTTGATGAAGCCATTGAGAGAAAAAATAAATAATTTTTGACAGTATATTTTTAAGTATCTGACAATATCTGCAACCCTTTTATGGTAAGAAGATACTGAAAACTATGCACTGTAAAAATAACTATCTAAGCATCTGAACAGTAATGTCATCAAATTTATGCTCATAAAGAGTGCTTGCTATTTTTACATGCTGACTTTTATTATCAGCCACTACAGCAATGTATATTGTATATATTATGAAGACAGCAGATAACTGTAGTTCTTTAGACTCATAATACAGTGCCAGTAACAGAATTCAAGTCAACACAATTAACTAATATAAGGCCAGTTTATCAAGTACAATATGAAGTTGATTAAAATCCACTTGTGTTTTAAAGACTGCTTTAAATCAATTTAAATTTAATTAATTTAAAACATTAAAAATGCTATATAACACACTGAATATTGCTAACATTTTTGAGCTACACATTTCCACTATCCACATCTACTAGATGTGCATCTTGATTAAGACAAACACAACTGATTTCAGGTTTAATATTTCCATTTCCAAGTTTTATAATGAAGTGGCTGACTCCAGTGTTAGGACTCACAGAAGACAGCTGTGACTTTGTTAAAGTTGTTGGTAAATTGCACTCAAGCTCTGAAACAAAATAATGAATCCAGTTTCTCATGTATGCCCCATGACTCACTACCAGTATATTGACATCTAACATTTTAGCAGCTTTGTCATTATCGGAGTTAAATTCAGGTCCATTGTAATGGTTTGTCCAAGGGAAAACTGATTTTTCTTCTAATGTTTCCAAGCCATTGCCTGCTGTATCCAGCACAACTTTCTTCTGACTTTCTTCAAGACTGAGTTGGCACAGAAATTCAAAAAAATCTTTTGCACGTGCTCTCACCTAAGAAGAGACATTAGGAAAAAGGAATACATATGTGAAGACTGCTAAAGCACTCAAGTCCAGTGACCTGAGTCACTTTTAACATCAATTTTTTTTTTAATACCTAAAAAAGTTTATATATACATCTTAGACTGAAGAACAGAAATCTGAAGCAGCTGTATCCCTAATAAACCTAGGCAGAGGGAGAAAACATTGGTGGGGGGGGCTGAGCATGAGTGTGTGTGCATGCACCTGTCCCCCAGGAAAATTTGTCATGGGGAAGGGGCGTGGCCCCTCCAGTGAGGGAGGGAGCTGGGCAGAGGCAGGGGCAGGAGCTGAGGTGAATGGGGCCCCAGGACAGGGTTGGGTTGTGGGACACTTGAAGCCTGGACAGCTCATCCCCAGACAGGGGGGCTCCCACAGCTGTGTGCACCATGGGTGCAGTATGGGGGGCACATGCCCTCTGGATCTGTGTGCAGGATAGAGGAGGGCTGCACTTTGTGCCCCACTGATTGGGAGCAGTACCATGCCATGCGCCTGCTGCACATGGGGTGCAGAGCACAGAGGCATCACTTGGCTGTTGAGGCAGCAGGGTGCAGAGCACAGCCTGCCTTTGCCCTGAGCACAGATCCCAGGGGCACGTGTTCCCCATGCCTCCTCCGGGGTACACGCAGTGGTGGGATCACATCTCCTGCCTCTGGATGAGCCGCCTGGGCTCCAAGAGTCCCACGACCTGGCCTGGGGCCCCATTCACCTCAGCCCCTGACTTTGTCCCACTCTCTCCTGCAATGTGGGGGCCTCAATCTCCCCCCACCCCTCCCCAAGCCTCTTCCCCTTAAGAGTATGCTGCAACTTGCCTGAATGCTATGCTGGGCAGTAATTCACATGCCAGGGCTGCGATCCTGGCTGCATGTCTGAGTGTGCGTGCCCCCCCCCTCCACTGCAGCAGCCCAGAGCCCAAGGCCAAGCTGCCCGGAGGCCCTATCTACTGCTCTGCATTTGGCAGGGCTAAGCCTCTTTAGTCCTGGCCTTCCGCTGCCTATGCTAATAACATATACGCATAATACATAAGTCTCCAGGTAGCTGTTTCTGTAGCACATTAAAGTTGTGAATGTAGAGACTATTGTTAGAGAAAGTTTTTGCCTCTCAAACCCAAGGAGAACTGTGAAAGCAATTCCTATTAATATTGTGAAAAGGAAACAAGATCATAAGAAATACAACCCAAGACTAATATTTTAAATAAGCCAAGCCAAACCAAAGTCAGGTTTGATCTCACAGCACATGTGCTGACTATTTAACACATGATGCTTTGTAAATTCAGCTTCTGCCAATCAAGTGCCAATCCCACTCCAAAACAGAGGCAGCACTATTTCTTGAAGCAGCATATCAAGACAAAAAGGAGTAACATGAAGGATAGTCTTTACTGTCCAGAGGGAAAGAACAGTATGGAACCGACAAATGCTAGCGTTGATTGGATTAAGCTTGAAGTAAAACAGCATTTGTAAAATTAGGAAACAGATGTGCCTGCACAGGTATAATGAAGACATGGAAGATGGACTGAAGAAACAAACAGTATACCATACTTCATCTAATGTTTCTCCCCCAGAGGGTGTGAATGAAGGACACTGCTGTCTAGCAGCTTTCGCCATTGCCTTTAGGTCACTCAGAGGCTTGCCTTCTGCAACACCATATTTCTGCAAAAAGCCATTTACAGAAAATTATTTAGTTGAATATTAAGGGAAGGAAAAATAAATACAACTTCAAGCTTTAACTTCACTTAAAAATTCAGTTCCTCCATTTCCCTTTTGACCCAGGAAAGTAAGTTTAAGCTAGTATTCTTACTCTGGGTCTTTAAAGTCTAACTCTTAGTCCTTCATTTAGTATACTTTCTCCCTTCCCCCCCCCACTCAACTAAGATATACTGAAAGAGCTAAAATTTGATACATTTATACAGGGAATTATTTAAAAAACTGAATTCTGCACAATTATCCTCTTAGTCATTTGAAAATTAGTTACAAAATTCACAAAATAGATCCACTTGGAAAGCTACTTATTATAATTATTATTATAATTGGAGCACTAACCGTTGAAAATAACTTCTAGATTTCCCAAAAAAATAACCCATGCAAAACCATTTCAGAGTGGCTGACAAATACTTTTTTTCCTTAACTAGAAAAATATTTAAGTTAAAAATACTTAAAGAAATATGCATTTTTTGTTTTTATTGGATTGGAGAACATGTAACATTTTCAGTGAAGTGCTTGAGATAAGGCCCAAATCAAAGTCTTGTGGCAAAAACAGACTGAAGCTTAAGTAGGTTCCCCTCAATTTAATTATGGGGAACCAAAATGCATATTTTAAAGCAATCTGTAGGATTTCTAGTGCACTTTACATGTACAGGCATGTACACTGTAATGCACATCCTATATACTGCTCATATGCATATAGCACCTTGTTAATTTATGAACTTTTTTGAACATAGATCACAAATAATTCACTCTGGAGGCATTAACACCCTATCCCATGTTACTGACAATAAATAAATACAAATATTTAAGTGAAGTATAGGTTTAGTCCTTTATTAGCATGGAAGTTCTTTATTAGCATGGACTCCTGGCACGGCTTTACAAGCACTTGTGGTGCTAGAGGACTGGAAGAGGGCCAATGTGGTTTCCATTTTCAAAAAAGGGAGGAAGGTGGACCCGGGGAACTACAGGCCA